TGTTTTTCTTTCCTTCTTCCTTTTCTTTATGATTCTTGGTTTCCTCTTTGGCAACAAATTCTTGCGCCAGTGAACGATATTTTTGTCTCGGCGAGCGGAAAAAGTGTCGCGAGTCGGATCGACGAGTTGCGAAGTTTTGTTTCTTTTTTTCTTTTTTTTTTTTTTTATGGATAATTTGTGCGGATGATCGAATTTTGAGTATTTTTTTTTTTTTTGTAACGATTCTTTGAAAAAGAATTCTTATGCGATTTATTTTATCGAAATTTTATCAGCGAGGGAATTTCGTAAAAGTATAAGTTGGGAGTGGTTGGATTGTTCCGTTAAATTCTGTTATTTTGAAAGAAAGAGATTGAACTCTGCTAATCGAAGATTAGCTATATAATAGATTTTTAATAAAAAAGAAAAAAAATTACAAAATTTACCAATCGAATGAAAATATCAGGATGATTTAATGATATATATATATAAATAGTAGAGGAACGTCTCATTTATCTAATAACGCAGCCGGTAGGTTTCATGATTTTTACGTTGACAAACGTTCTATATACAAAGAGCAGCTGAAACATATATAGGAATTTGCAGAGGAGGAACCACGAAGATTTGTATGCTTAATCTACCTAAGTCGTTTATTTGAATTCTGAGGGGCGCAACAGCTGTGCCGCGTCTAAAGCCTCGCGCGGGGTTTGTTTCCACGTGTTTGCTTATTTTTCGGTACAGTCTTAATTACCGAAAGATAGAGCCATTCATTTTTCTTGATTTCGTGGCAATCGTTTTTTTTTCCCCCCCTTCCATCGCCTCTTTTTCGCGAGCTGCCCGTTTATCGAGCCGTTTTCCCACCATCCATCCCTCTCTTCTTCCCTCGCCCAGAAGAAGAGATACCTTATACCTGCACTTTCCCCCGATAGTTCTCGCTTTGTAAATTCTTTCTCCCCCCGTTGAAAACGGCGCATAGCGCGGTCGCGCTTTCCTATAACTCTCTTTTCCTTTCTTTCTTCATCCCGCCTCCCCTACTCGTTTACCGCAGCTAATTTTCGTTTGATTGCGAGACGAGAGGGGAAAAAAAGAGGAAAGGAGAAAAAAGGAAAAAAAAGAGAGAGCGAGAGAGAAGGGGGTTGGAAAAAGGTCGAAGGTGCGCAACCTTGGCGTCAAACCGCTTTTTTTCACGTTTATTTTTCAAATGGGCAACGCCAGGATAACGATGTCCTTTGACTGTGGCAAACCCTATGACGTTAGCCACGTCGCTAATTAGTCGATATTCACTTTGTGGCGGCGAGTCCGCGTTTCAGAAGGGACACACCGATTCCGCAGAACTGAAACCCAAGCGGTTTCGAATCAAAGATCTTTGAAAAATCGCAATCGAATTTTCGTCCAAATTTCATTTAAATATATATATAGCTTCCCTCCAAACTGTCATTTCATTTTTTCTTTTAGAATTTAGAAATTATTCGCGATTTCTATTCCCTCTTGTTTTTTTTCCTTTTTCGATTCAATTTTTTCCAAGATGAAAGAATTTCTCAACAAGAATGGAGAAAAAAAAAACGGAGATGGAGAAGAAATGTAAAATTTCCATTCAACGTTGAAATGATATCTAGCGGGCACGGTCTGGGCGCAAAATTTTTTAACTGGTAGAAATTAATTGCGTAATCTACATACAGAGTTGGAGAATTTGCGGGGAAAATCGTGAAATGATCAGCAAATAATTTGATCCTGCGTCTGTGAACCGTTGGTGTGTATTTTAAACTCAACGGTGCATCGTAAATGCTCGCACAGCCGCTCGCCCTTTTTGGTAGCCGCGTCGAGATGGGGGAGGGGGAGGGAGTTGGGGGAGGCAGGAGGGGGAGGTTTCAACGTATCAATACCTACGCATGAAATATGTTCATAATCACGATTGACAGGGAATCATGGTAAATAGTCATTTGCTACTCCATTCGCGAATTTACATTACGCCTCTATTTGGATCAGACGGCGCAGAAAAATCTGCAATTAATATTACTATGTTGTACCTATCTACGACTATGCGCGTAATCATCGACCTTTTGGTAATCACCGTGATTTATCATTTTCGTTGTTAAGGTAATACGTTCGTTGAATCGTATGCAATGGGAAAGTATGACGAGGGAAGAAAAGAGAAAAAAGATTTTTCGACCAAAAATTATTATACGTGAAATTATCTTTTCTTAATGTTCGTATCCATAAAAAAGATATTCATACGCTTTATGGAAACTATTGAAATATAGAAAATACAATTTATCTTATTGAAAGGATTGAAATTTTCACCAATTTTTCCGCCATTTTTGTGCAATTGGATATTATATTAAAAAGTAACAAACAATTCGACCGAGATGCAAAATTCTCGTCATCGATTCTCTCAACACATAGATTAAGTTTTTCCATCATTCAAAATAAGTTAAAAGGATTGTCCGCGTGAAAAGAAACGGAATTTCTGCGTTCGAGATCAAATCGATTATGGATGCGATCGCGGAACAGGGGAGGGGAAGGGCGCGTGAGAGAGGAAAAAAGAGCAAAAGGGGTATAAGAGAGGGTATGAAATATGAGTACGGAAATGCAGATATTTGTCAGGAAATTGATAACTCGAATAAACTCGTCGCAAAACGTTCAAACAAAACGGGACGATTTTACCTCTTCTCCCGGCGGCAAACCGAACTAGTACGTACGTTCGGCTCGCTCTTCTGAATGCGTGGTTGCATGTGCACGCGTGCTCTCGCGGCGGTGTGCATGGTGTGCGTGTGCACGCGCACACGGGCCAAACATCCCCTCCCCTCCCTCTCTCGTACGTCGCGTATTACGACGTATCGGTATAAAATTTACGCGTCACCCTGATATACTGTTTCGGCCAACTGATTGTAAACGAATTTTATAGTCGTCTGTATTTTTCGCTAATTTCGTTGTACAACTTTTCCAGATATGTGGCATTACACTGATTGCGCGTAGATTACGTCGTAACTTTGCCCATAACTGTGTTTTTCATTCGCGCTGATTCGGATAACGAGATCATCGCCCGGTATCGGATATATTGATTATCTTTATTTTTCGATTTTTTTTCTTTCTTTCTTTTCTTTCTTTTTTTTTTTTTAAACCATTTGTTTCGCGCCACTCGTGCAAAAATATGTCCTCTCTCTTTCTCTCACGTTGTGATTCAGATTTTTGTGGATTTTCTTTGCGTTTTGATTAGTTTTTTTTTTTTTTTTTTTGAATATTGGTACAAATCGAGGAAATAAATGAGTTTTAGCGTTAAGGTATATGTTGTATCGGGCATTTCATACGATATACAACACATAGATAATGTCTTCCGCGGGAAAATTTGCAACGTCAAATACAGGCAACGTCTGTGGATATTCATACAATTTCTCATTGGCAAGGTGGTACATTAGTTTAACACTGATGTACGCCGTGGTTCGTTAACGATCAACGGTTATTGGCCGATACTGATTTAGCCAGGGTTGCCTAAATTCATTCGCGTTAAAGAATGATTGACGTATTTTGGCGTTTATACGATTTTAACCGTAAAACGTGATATCATCGTGGTGGTGAAGTAGACGTTCTCTATAGAAATTAGCGAAATTATTGTTCTTATAGTCGCTCGTTCGTAGAATTTTTATATACGAACAATAAAATATTTTATTTCTTTTTCTTGTAGTAGTTATACGTATTACATATTACAATTGTGCTCATTCGATGTTTCCATCATTCTTTTCATCCCTATTTGTAACGTTAAGATTATTTGATCGTTTTTTTTTTTTTTTTTTGTATTTCGTTATCGTTGATGATATTTGAAAAAAAAAAAAAAAAAGAAGGAAAAAAATTTCCAATAAAATTACCGAGCATTTCGAAACTCTCTTAACATATTTTAATTTCGCATATTTTTAAAATTTAGTTGACGTTATGGAATTTAAAATCCTTGCATATCTACACGTATCTTTTATCGCATATTACCCCTTGTTGTTTTTATACAAACATAAAAAAGCACGCGATTGGACAGTTCACTGATATACGAGCACCCAGTGTCACGGTTCCCTGTCATTTATGTGATGCACGCGGTGCACTTTGCACTTTTTTGTGCGAAAACGCAGCTTGTAGTCGATCGTTCATACACATGATCCGTGCATATTTCCGTGAAATGTCCGAGTGAATAACGAGGGAGGTTGCGTTTTATTTTATTGTTTTATTATTACAGATTAATTTTCGTTTGATTGTTTTCAACGCGGCTATCGAAAGACGTGACACGAATTTA